AAAAAAAAAAATACCTGTTTCGTTCCTTAATTTTATTTCATTTTTTTTTTTCAATTTGTTCTGAATGAGATAATTTCATTTTCGGTCATTTATTCAACAACAAACAAAAGCAAACGCATTTTGCTAATTTCCTCATTTCATATTTTTATGTAACATAAATTGTAGTGTGCACAGCAAGATGATTGAAATTAATTTAATTGATAAATTACATTTAATAATTTAGCGATTACTTTTTATCTACATTATATTTGATCATGAATGTTTATCATTATGATGATAATTCGATTGATATCGTTCATCCGAACGATGGCCAATCGTCGCGTAAAAATTCTAAATGTTTCAATGAGTTTTGTCAATTTGTTAAACGACGAAAGAATCTTGGAAAAGTAAGTGAAATTAATTTAATTGATAAAATATATAAGTGATAAATTACATAAGTGAAATTAATTAATTTAACTGAACTTTTCATTTCTCTCATCCTCTCTTATATACCTCAATATGTTAATTTATAAAAATAAAAGTTAAAAAAAGAAGCATTTGAAATAAAATGAAATGAAATAAATTTGTGAGCATCATCAGATACCACCACCATGCCATCAGTTAGCCTGTTCATTACCAAACGAATCAATTAGCAGTCATAAAATTTCTATTGATAATCAATTCTTTGAATGGGATGAGAAACAGAATAATGCACCATCGAGACGATTCAGTGTTCCAGAAAAGGTACATAATATTTTTACAGATTGCTTTTTTTTTTCTATTTAAATTTATTTAATTTTGAAAAAAACAAAGTATTTTCTTGTGTTTATTATCACATATCTGTTCGTTTGTCCATTTTGTTTATCAGTATATCGAATTTTTATCAATGTTATTTTTACATTTGAAACGTATAAGTTTAATGTATTGCATTTACATTTTAATAAATGTATTCCATTAGAGATTCAGTTTATGGGATTAAAGTTCAGTGCATTTTATACGAATAGAATATGATAACTCGTTGATTTTAAGTTTCATTGAATTTTTATTAATTGCACATGATATGTTTAATCATATGCAATTAATGAAAATATCTAAGAAAATCTTCAAATATCGAAATTTAAATTTGGCATTTTAATTGTTATTCGAATCATATGAAAAAGATGTCTGGCAATCGATTACGTCTGATCGGTGAATGAAAGAATTGAAAATGTATTTATGGATGAATTTGATGCAAGCACTATTGGAATATCAAAATTTGTATATAAAAAAAAAGAAAAAAACTTTGCTTTAAAGCTTTTCTTTTTTTTTTTCAAACTTTGATTTAAAAATTTTTCTTTTCTTCAACTCTGATTATTCGTGATATGAATAAAGAATAAAGAAATCAAGCGTTAATATTTTTTCTAAAGAATAAGAAAAGGAATTTAAAATTATAGGCTTTTATGAAATGTTATAATAGACGGAATATAGAATTAAATGATTTTCTTTTTTCCAACAATTAGGAGATTGCATCGAGGTCAAACCTGTAAGGTCACAATCTCAGTTATTGTTTACTAAAAGAAAATTATTGCTTCAATGTAGAGATAAAATTTAAATCTTCCATTTAATTTTCCTAAATTCATTTGCATCCTAATAATTCTGAAAAAAAAAAACAAAAAGTGGTAATTGATCAAAACATTTCAAAACATACAGTTTTTATTGGTCAGTTTTGATAAGTTTGGAATTTGATTAGATTTGAAAAATTCATTCAACTTAAAAAATTATCGAATAAAGGTATAATTTAGGATTATGTGATACTGCGCCAATCTCGAGAACGTCAGCTGGAGGTTGTTGCTGCATTTGGTGTGTTTTATTCTTCGCAAAAATAAATAAATAAATAGCTTGTGTAGATGAGAAAATTAAGAACGACGAAATTTGCTTTCTCGAATAAAATTTTGAAGGAAGTGTATTGTTGCGCAGATATTCAGGTCGAAAAAAAGAGATATGATAAGCTTTATCCACTATCCTTTCGCTAACTGTCAATTTATTTCGCGTGATCCTTAGATTTCCTAAAAATTTTAAATAATAAATTTTTGAATTTACATACTTTTTTTATGTTACAGATAAACACATGGATCCTTACAAACAATATATGCAATCATTATTATGCTATGATTTAGCACCAGTTCATGGATCAACTGTGCTAATTGACGGTGATTTACCGGTAAATTTTACTAGTAAATTTGTAACACATTAACTTTTATAAGTGTTATTTTTTTTTCAAGTTGTGAATTGCTTTTGCATATATGAAAAGCGATGAAATTTCAAACTATACCCTAACTCTTGAAAATTTTACAAAATTCCCGAAATTTTCAGATGCGTAAATCATTGCAAGCTCTTTATCAATCAGGACATGAAGCAGCTGTGGTAATTAGTTCAATTGCACATAATCCGATAGGTATGATAACAGTAACCGATTGTCTTCGTGCTATCATCCTAACATCTAAAATCGATACTGAAATAAGTGATCGTCCGGTTTGTGATTTCATCAGAATATATGGAAAGAAAAAACTTATCACTGCAACTGTTAATATGTCGTTAGTACTTTTTAATTACTTTTCCCTAAATCATAAATGAATTATTAAATTTAAATTCTTCCTAACTATATAGCTCATCATTCATTTATCAAATCATTTTTGCATTTTTCAGGCTTTTTTTTTTTTTAGAGATATTTTAGAAGTTTGATTTTATGATATTTATATTTCATCATTTCGTTTTAACAATTGCAGTGTTTGGGATGCAGCTCGATTATTTTGTCTCAATCATGTTCATCGTATACCAATCTTTCAAACTGATGAAAATGATTTATTCACTGATCTTCTCTATATGTTATCATTACGACGAATTTTCTATGAAACTATTATCAAATTGGTAAATGAATGGCTTTTTTGAAAAAAAAAAAAATTTTTCTTTTTTGCTTCAAAAAAAAATTCTTTTAGAAAAAAAAAGAACAGGAATAAATTTAAATTATAGAAAATATTATGAAAAATTGATAATAGATAATTTTAAAGTTGAATTAAATGTTAATATTTGCTTTCCATTCATTCATTTTTTTTCTTCAAATTTTTATCAGAAATTTTTTAGGTTGAAAAAATGTTTCAGATAGAGCCAAGTTTATCGCTTGCACCACATTTAAAACATCGAACATTGCTTGATTCCGGTATTGGTACATGGACAAATATTGCTACGGTTTGTTTGTATCATTTACGGTTGCAACTTTTCAAATTACACTGATATGAAAATATAAATTATTGATAATTGTCGTATAAAAGAGAATAAATGAAAATTGAACAATTGGAGTTTTGAAAAAAAAAAAAAATTCTAACGATCAATTGATTCATTTATCTACTTTTCCATTTTAACTTATCATTTACATTGACTTACCAACATTTATTTTTATTTTTTAGTTTTGATCAAAACCATTAAGGCAATGATTTTGATCAAAAATGGAAAATAAAAATGATTGTTAATTTTAAATGTAATTTAAATAAAATGACAAAAATACAATAAGTGTATGAGTAGCACAAAATTCATTAATTTAACTTTTGACCTGTTCAATTTTTGCTACAGTACAAATTAATTTTTAGGGATGAATTTTCAAATTTTTAAAGATGAATTCTGAATTCAGCATTTGTTGAGACTAGCCCTCATATTCCCGCATTTTCTGTTGTCTTTCGTTTTTTTTTCTCCCCTTCAGTATCTGAAAATAATAATTAGTTAATAAGTGAGTGATGCTTACTGGAAATGATTAATTTCATATTGTGCTAAATATAATGAAAATTTATAGATTACAAGTAGTGCATATTGTGGTGAGGTAATTGATAAACTCATAACAGAAGAATTATCATCTATTGCTATAGTTAATGAGCATAATATAATGCTCGGAAAAATCAGCAAAAATGATATTATGCGTGAGCTTGCAAATCATTCCAATAATTGTTTGGAAATTATCAATGTACCTGTTAAGGTTATTCATAATTTATTTAGATATTTAAATTTAATAAATTTTAAATTTTAACTTTTTTAGCATTTAACAAAAATTTTCTGTTCAAGAGCATTGCTAACTTTTTTTTACACTTTCGAGAAATGAAGCTGAAGCGCAAAATATAGCTTTATGACTTGAAATGTGCATTGATGATTTAGTGGAGGTGAAAAACTGTAAGCTATCATAGATTTAGTAATATATTTCATATTTAATTTTATTAAAATAATTTATTATCATTTTCTAGAATGTTTATCGTGTTCCACCATTTGCTCGTCCAACTCATACTGTATACGAAGGAATTGCTTTATTATTATCATCTAATGATCAATGTTTGTTTATTGTTGATTGTAATCAACATGTTATGGCTGTTGTTACATTTACCGATATTATGGATTATATTTTGAATTCAAGCGATATTTATCATCAAATCAATATTGGCTAAATATAAGAGAGCTTTAAAGAATGTTTAATTAATCTTATAAAGTATTAATTACACAAATTATACTTACATATGAATTATAAAAATATATTTAAGCTTACGTCATCCTTATTATTTGTTCAGTTCTTTTTTAATATGAAAATGCGATTAAAATATTTGTTTAGGTATTAAATACAATTAAGTATCAGCTTGTGACATCAATTTATCTTTTCTTATAAATTGCTAATTAATTTATTTACTTTTTTGTTTTGAATGGTCATTTATAAAGAAGCTAAAAAATTTCGGTTTTAGCACAAAGCACTCCGTTAAGCTCTCTGTTATTCAACAGAAAATCCCGTTAAGTCTATTCAACTCCGTTAAGCTCTGTGTTATTCAACAGAGAGCTTAACGGAATGCTTTGTGCTAAATCGTGACACTGATTGACCTTATGGATTTTAGCGCTTAACATTAGAATAATACTGAAATGGTTTTGTTAATTTAATGATGGGATTTTATATTGATAATATTTTTCTTACTAATTAGCCATTATGATAGCAATCTTTTTGCCATCAATTAGAAGGAATAATTGTTTTTTATTCAAAAATTGTATAATTTCTTATCTTCCTAAGTGTATCAGTATAAATTATTACTACATATCTAATATAACCATCATCATTAACCATCATTTCAGATTAATTGTTTAGCAAAAGTACAAGTATGACATAAGTCAGATATACTAGAATTAAAACAAAAAGGCATAGAATTTATCAAGTAAGTCCAAAGAAAGATAAGTTTTTTATTGTCACACTTTTTTTTTTCTTACTAATTTCCACTTTTCATATATTAATTAATTCAATTGTAATTGTAACAATAATAGTTGTACGGGTTCTCAATTAAAAATGGTAATTTTTTGAAGGAATTAATCAATTAATTCTTTGATATAATGTAACTACTCCTCATAATTATCTTTAAAATCTTTTTTTTAAAAAAAAAAATGTTTCATCTTTTTTTTAGATCAAATTATTATTTCTTGCCAACTTTTGAATTTTGCTTAGTTCGCTTATTTCAAAATATCTTTTTTTTTTAGATTGAAAACTATTTTCTCAATACATGTATTTTGTTAGTAAAAATTGATTATGAAGACAATTAATGAAATACATACAACTAGAAATGCCTTTCAATAAATTTATTCATAAAACAAAAAATGAAAAGTTTACTTAGTGTCTCTAATCATTATCAAATATATTCCTTCATTACTCGATTATATTTTTAATCCATTATTTGAATTAAAATATTTTCTTTATTGTTGAACCTTCATACAAAAACATTGAAAGTCATCTAATGTTGCAGGGCAGCTGAATGAAAGAAAGGTAGAAAAGTGAGCAGTGAACTGTGTATTTTCTATAATTGCTTTTTTTTTGTCCCACTGATAATCAATTCTCATTATCAGAATTTATAAATGATTTGTCCTACATTGAAAAGCTATTAGGCTTTTTTTTTATTTTTTTGAAAAGCTAATTAGCCTTTTTCATCTATCAGATGCCTGTCACATATCTGTCTTATTAATTATACTGATGCGGAGAGCAAAGCTTATATGATTAAATTACATAAAGAAAAAGTTGTGAAGTAGGATGGATTACTTGAAAAGATAAAAGGAAGATAAAGAGGAGAAGTGTTATCAGTGGACATATTTCGTTCAATTTAATTTTGCCAACTAATAAACAAACCATAATTTGCCTAAATTGAAACTTTCAAGTTTTAAATTTTGCTCTCGAACTATGATGTTACGATATCTGTGAATCATATGACAAAATTCATCACTTATCAGCAAGAGAGATATATTAGGATTGTTGATCATTCATTGTTTTTACTTTCAACGAAAATCGATTGCCAAATATATCCTTGAGGCATAGAAGAAGATTGTGCTCTCTCAGGAAGATAGATATCTGAGAGATAGAGAAAAATAAATAAATGATAAAAGATGCCATACAAGCAGCAACGACACGTTCACGTCCGACCATCTCGGTTATATGATCACCTCCGACCATCTCGGTTATATGATCACGTCCGACCATCTCGGTTATATGATCACGTCCGACCATCTCGGTTATATGATCACGTCCGACCATCTCGGTTATATGATCACGTCCGACCATCTCGGTTATATGATCACGTCCGATCGCCCCGATTAGACAACTTCACTTCGTGTGGGTTTGGATTCAAATTGCGGGAATTGTAAAAAAGTTATTTTGAGTTATTTGTTATTGTAATGATTCCGGTTGATCTGGTTGTTTTGAAAACCTGATGTTTTATGCGTTTCAGGAAGGAATTTGAAGGAGAGAGAGAGAGAGAGAGAGAGAGAAAGAGAGAGAGAAGAAGAGGGACAGAAACAGAGAATGAGTGAAACATTGATCGAAGTGTCCACGTCAACCAGTGGAGCTGTAACACCACGATCAAAGGTGAGTACACAGTGAGATTCGACTTGAGATTTTACGATCTCGAAAAATTTGGCTTAGGATCTGATTTTAACAGTTTTCCGGTAGTCTAAAAAAGGTTAGTCATGCTACGAGAAATGATTTTCTACTTTCTTACAAACCAATCTATTCTTTTTTTTTTGTGAAAAAGTAATGGTAGATAGTACTATTATAGAGATCAATATTCTTCACGTTTCTCGTAGTAATTTCGGAGCAACCTTACCTTATTTGTCATATTCATTTATTTTTGTTTGAAAGAAAATTTCAAATATATTAAGCAAACTTTAAATTAAAATTAAGGATAAATTCCAGGTTGATGCTCTATCACGAGATGATTTGATTCGTTTTGTCAAAAAACAAATTGATAAATTGAAAACTGCTAAATGTGAAAATGAAAAGCTCAGAATCGAATTGGCAGAACTGCGGAAGAATTTTACTGTACATTGATATTTCATTAGATAATTTCATATTTTAATTTCACAAACTCAGGTCATTTTTCATTGATCATAGCTATTGCTGTATTGCTTTTTCTAATAGCATTATAGTGTCTCATCAGGAAGAGACAGCTCTCTCGAAACAATGCAAATATCACTCATTAGCCATTTACATTGATTTGAAATCAGAAATTCGCTGGTAGAATAATCACTTATAGAATTATCTCGTTATCCAAGCGATGTTTTAAATTATTTCAGGAATCTGAGGAAAAGTTACATGATGAGCAAGAAAAAAGCGCAGAAAAACCAGAAAAAATTCAACAGCTAAACAAAGTTAATTTTCAGATTTTTTTTTTTTTGATAGTAATATTCGAAAATATAATAAATGATTAAATGGTATAATTAAATTTCCGCAATGTTTTGAGATATTTGTTAAATTGCATACGAGAAAATTCGCCAGCTTGTTAGCTGTAGAAGAAAGATATCGTTTAGATGTTATGTTGTATTTCATACATTAGCGATCCTTTCATTTTTTTTTGCCTATATATGCATATATTGCTATAGTAGGCTTAACAAATGAATCCTTACTAAGGAAGTAATCGTGAAATTAAAGATAAAAGAAACTTTTTTGATAACCTAAAGAACAATCCTTTTTGCATTTCGCAACTTTTCAGAAATGTAATGATCTAAAAATGGGATGTTCGGAATTGACGCAAAAACTTGAAAAACTAGACCAGGTTAAATTTCAATATTTTTCAGAATTTCAATAATATAATTTAATTGGATAAGTACTTCTTTGTCTTCACTTCTTTGATAAGAAAGAGAAAAAATTGAGAGAAAAACCGAAAAACAGCTCGAAACACTTTTAGGTTTTTCTTTCATTTTTTTTTTAAATATTAGGAGATTCATTTTTCAGGAGGTGAATGCAAAGGCTGAATCAAATAAACTTAACGATGAGTCGAATGGTAGTGACGGAATTCGTACTTGTATGGTTCAGTTACAAAATGAATTAGCTTCAGTGAAGGATTTACTTCGAAAACAAACAGAAGAATGTGACAAGGTATTTTATCACTTTCAAAGTCAGTTTTTTTTTAACATTCCCGACAACTATTTATCAGACTTAAATATTACTATAAATCGATTTGCATATTAATTCTTTCAGCAAGCGAAAGAAAAAGAAAAATTGAAAATTACAGTGGCTGAATTGCGTTCGCTATTGGATGATGCCTATGCACAACTCGAGTCTTACAAAGAGGTTTGTTTCATTTTTTATTAGTCGCTTAAGCTGAAGTGCTAAAGAACAGAAAAACGAAAGAACTGCTTTTTTTTTGCTGAAAAAGTATGAAATACTCTGTACTATAAAATCAAGCCTCTAAGTAATTGAATAATATTTTTCGCGAAATTCAGAAAAGGAGTGTGGAAAATGTGATCATGTTAGAAATGGCCGATTTTGAGAAAGCAGTTGAACGGCTGCAGAAAGACCTTAAAGCAGTAAATCTCGAAAAAACTGCACTTCTGTCAGAATTGGAGGCATCGGTAAAAGAAGTAGACAATATTCGTGAAGAAAAAGTTCTTCTGAATGACAATATTACAGAACTGAATGCTGATCTTAAAAAGTTAAAGGAAGAAATGGAAGGCAAGTTTTTTTTTTTCAATTTTAATAATGTATCAAGTATTTGCCAGAACTTTATGCTGAGTATAATAGCGGTTGTTTCGAAAATCTGTTTCAGAGAAAAAAACGGAACTTGCTTTACATGAAAAAGAGCGAAATGATTTGAGAGAACAGCTTCAGAAGCAAGTTTCTGCTGGAAACACAGAACGAGATCAGTTGATGAAAATGATTGGAGTAAAAGAAGAAAAGATTGGAGATTTAGAAGCATTGAATGCTTCATTAAATCGACAATTGGTATCACTTTGTTCTCAGCGTGAATCACTGCAACGACAATTCGATGATCTCTCTGAAGAGCATTCAACTTTTAAGGTGAAATTGTCGAATCGAATCGAACCACTAAATTAACACTTCAAGATTTCAAACTATCACTTTTTTTCTTCATATCAGTATTTTAATTTGATATGGATTTTGGAGAAATAATTATAGACTCGAGCTCTGTATGTGTTGGAACAGAAGAAAAGTGATGATGGTGAACGTGCGAAGAGAGAAATTGAAATATTAGAGGAAACAATTCGACAGCAAAAGAGGATAATTGACAATTTGACGTGAGTTTTTAGCTATAATTTTTGACGTTATTTGAATTACCTTCTCTGAATGTTCTTTTTATTGAGACTACAAAATCTAGAGAACAAGGGAATTCATTTCATAATTATTTGAACTTTCAAAATCCTGATTTGTGTACTTCCAGCAATTCACATCGTATGTTACAAGGTGAACTTAATTCTTCATCGGAACATGTAAGAACGCTTTCCACCGAAATATCGAATTTACAGCGACAACTCAATACTGCTACTGAATCTCACAAAAAAGAGCAAGCTTTCTACTCACTTTTATTCTTTATATTGGTTGTTTAGACAGTTCTTCATTATTCCAAATAGAAACACATTTCACTATTTTCTGGATGAACTGTAAAGTCATTGAACTATTTCTAGGTTGTTAGAACAACGGCAAGCATTCGAATTACGACTTGCTTCTGAAGCAAAGTTTAATAATGAACTATTGGCTCAGATTGATGCAAATTGCATTTTACATAATCAGGAAAAGGAAAATTTGTTGATGACTGCGCGACAAGAACGTGAAGGCTTAGAAGAAGAAATGGAACGTTTAAAACTAACGTTGAATGAAGAAGTGGCACGACGAAAACAGATTGAAAAAGCTCAAATAGCTGCACAAAACGTAACTATCCAATTACAAAAACCTTCCAAAGATATTCTGCCATTCAGGTCTGAGTAATAATGATAACAATGATAAATAATAACTAATAATGATGATTAATAAATAAATTAATAATAGTAATAACAATAATATAATTATTATTATTATTCTTATCATCAT